ATGGTAACGTAGGACTACGTGGTCTTATATAATTAATGTTATTTGCAGGAATTTGTGTTTTGTGTTGGAATAGGAATTTGAGCGGGATTCTCTCTGTTTATACTATAGTATGACTATGATTGCCCTGAAAAGAAGCCTTTGATATGAATTTTAGTTGGGACATGTTCAGAAACTTAGCTCTTTTGGAAAATCTTGGTGGCCCTGAAAAGGGCCGATGGCAATACAGGCAATACCATGATACTGTTGCACCTGTAGTTTTTGGCATACTTTCACTGATTACTTCCCGGGGATCCTTGTTCAGCTATAGCAAGATGTGCGCGTGAGGACTTCCACGGTGCTGAAATTCAATCGTGTCAACCAGCATACTGGATCATCATTGACCAGAGTTGCTCTTTGTAGTGCAGTCAATTCCTGGATAGGATCTGTTAAGTCATTGCCATTGTGTCCTTCTGACAATCGATGTAGGAGATTCAAAAAATGGGGCCACTTTATCTCATTTGCACTGAGTGTGAGGAACATCGTAGGCTTTCCCAATTGTCGCATCATGGTGAACAAATTTCTCTTCCTTTGTTGCCAATTCTGTACTGAAATCGGTATTGATTTGAGGAAGGATAGATTTCGCTCAATGCACTGCTCGATGAATAAGGCGGTCCTTAAGGTTGACACGTGTAAAGTTTGCGGTCCCCGTGCACTTAAAAGTGAATTGCAAGCCTTCGGAAACTCTAAGGCGATGAACTTTCATTGTCATATACATACAACAAATGTTGTGGTTTGGCCACACGCCTGTCTTGACGACGAGTTTCACTGGATGCCATCATGAAATATGTCACCCGAACCCCTGACTTGAATTTCCGTACATGGCCGAGACATATGGCAGGCAAAGCTATCTCTTCACCGTGCTCGTCATAAATTAATGACAGAGGAACCCTGTTTTGCGCGGGAGCGATCTCTAGGCATTTGTCCTCATTCCAAAGGAGCCTTTCCTCGGTGCTCAAGCAGCAATTCTGTCTCATTATCCACGGCAATGGTTTCCAGCTCAATTTGAGGATCCACTGCAGGGGTTTCAAGACCATCTATGGCAATCTGATCAATTGTAATCCTGTAGCGGTGGTACAGTGAGGTGCCATTTGATGAACACGTTGAAGGCCTGATCATCATCGAGCTGACGGGGCGTCTCTCTTACACAACGCAAACGGTAGAACAACATTCGAGCAAAAAGAAGATTATCAAAAAACTATCATATGACATATGTGATTTCGTTCTTATTCCTCAATTTGGTTTAAATTGAACCATTTCTGATCAAAATTTTTTATCACTATGACATCGTTGCTTGTTATTTTCAGAATTCCACCACCATCAGCAGCTCTTATTATGAGAAAAATTAAAATACATACATTCGTGATGCCCTTGGGCGACAGTGTCGTTTGACAGATAATTGAGCTAGAAAACGGTTGACAAGTTGCAGAGGTGTATTTTACTTTATGCTTCTTTCCCTTCAGAATCAGATTATGCTCTAGATTGTAAAATTCGATACTGAAGGGAGACGTACACTGGAGAAAAATCCGTAGAATCTGTACCGAATTCCGTAGATGTTGCCTACGGATCCGTATTTCCGCAAAAATTTGTAAAATCCGTAGATCTACGGAGATTTCCGTAGATCTGGCATCTCTGTATATAGGCTGCAGTGGTGAGCAATTCAGGAGCGAGAACAGGAGCGGTCACTCTCATGGACCAGAGCGAAAACATCGCATGAGTGGCGATCGTTGTTAGAAGATGACCAGTGGATATTTTTTGCATTAGAAATCTACAGACCACCGACCGTGTGTGGAGTCTGCGCGCGGGCAATTTTAATCTGTTTTGTGTGTTAGGAATAAGAAAAACAATGTTAGAGTTTAAGAATAAATGTGTTTAATTAGTTGTTTTTAATAAATATAGTGCTTGTAAACCTGTTGTAGTAAATCGGAGTGTGTGTTAATTGGTGTAAAAATAGAAGAAGCTCTTCCACGGAGAACAAGGGAGATATTTACCCAGCACCGGGAATAGCTGGCCCTTTGTTTTCCCTAATTTCACCGGCGAGTGTTGGGGAGCACTGATCGACATCGAAGGCGGAGGTAATTCGGTTCCCCAACATTTATGGTCCTTCAAACCGGATCGGTTGGACTACGGAGATTTGGAACGGACAGTATCAGTTGGGCTGATTCAGACCCGTACGGTAGCCTGAGGCAGGCTTGGATTTGCGCCATCGCGGACGGCGTTGAATAGGAAATCGCCATATCTCCCGTGAACAACAGTTTTACGGCCATCACACAGAAAGATAATTAACACCGCGCCATCATTACATTACGGCACAAAGGACATCCAAGGATAAGGGATCCATTCTTACCTCACTATTCAAGAGGACAGCGTGGCTTCGTTTTGGGCATCCATCGGTTGGATTGTTCCCACAGGTGAGTTGGAACAAAAAACTATATGTCCATTCGATGCTAGGGAATTGCGCCATCCTAACACACGTTTTTTCTGCAATCTATTTGATTATTCGGTTGGACTGCCCGGCTTTGAGGATTTGCATGCGTATGCCAGGAGTGTTGGACATCGGTAATCGATCTCAACGTATGGAATTACATAGGATCATTGGATCGTTCGTAGGTTTGGACAACTGATCCAGCACCGGATTTACTTCTCCAGGTAAATATATTTAGATCAGTATATGTCCAGCCTTTGCAAGTGTTTACGCGATACTAACACCCACATTTCGACGTATTTCTTTGCATCCATCCTATAATATCCATCGAGACGGAAAGACGCTGTTCGAAAACGAGTTGTTGGTTTTGTCATCTCGACCTACATTCCTGGAACTGGAACTGGTAGAACCACGAAGACAGACGCCATCCTAATTCCATTTGATTGAGGAGCATCACGGCCATCTTCGAGGAGACGATTTGGAGCGTGGCAAGAAGAGGCGGCATCGATTCATTTTCTCTGTGGTGAGTGACAAGAATGTATATGTCTCCGAAGCGGGACCTCAGATAATATACGCATTTTAAATGAATTTCGAATCCTCTTCAAATCATTTACAACGCAATCCCTGAGCAAAAACTGTTCGTTAACAGAACAATTGACTCATTCTGCTGTGAATTTTGGACGCTTTTGGACGTTTTTTCTGGTCGTTTTTGGATTGGATTGGTGCCGTTACTGGTTCCACGGGTTAGTTTGAACAGTATATGTTCTGCCGAAGCTTTACTTTGGATACTACATGCATTCCTTCCTCTTCTTTGGATCCCAATCTGAACTGTTTTGCTGACAAGTTGAACGAGTGGACTTTCGCTTTGTAAATCGGACACAGCGAGCTATTTGGAATCGAGTTAGCAGTTGCTGTTTGTTCTCATAGGTGAGCTACAACAGTATATATCCGCCGAAGCCAGGTTTTGGATACTACAGTTGGTTCTTTCCTCCTCTTTCCTCATCAATCGAACGATTACGAGCTAAGCTGCAACAATCAGCGACTCTACAATTTACTGGATTAGGTGTAGCAGGTCGCAGTATATCGTTCTGTTCTCTCAGGTAGGCTTCAACAGTGTATGCCAGCCGAAGCCTTGGACTATCGGATCTCTACACCACCCAATTCTTCTATTTACCGGTTTGAGTGACGCATATCAACAATGCCGACCCGCGACAAGAAGCCGCCAGCGTTCAAGCTGTTAATGGTCCAGGTTAAGCACATCCAGACATCTTTGGATGACATCTGGAGATTCGTGGACGGTTACCCGTCGACAACTACAGCAAGTCAGGTCAACGTTCGCTTGAATAGGATCGATGAGTTGTGGGAAAGGTATGGAGAGATTCTAATCGATGTTCAAGCTCATGATGACTTTGAGGATGAGGATCAGGAGTTCGATAAGGCTAGGTTAGCGTATAGTGATAAGTACTACTATTGTAAGGCGTTCTTGATGGATAGGGCCAAGGAACTGCAGGATCCGGAGGAATTTGAACAATCCATACGAGCAAATGAGTTGTTGACACACGGCCATGGTACCCTTGATCATGTGCGTTTGCCTCAAATTAAGCTACAAGTTTTCAACGGGGACATCGATGAGTGGATCAGCTTCCGTGATCTGTTCACTTCACTTATACATCGGAAGACGGACTTGCCCGAAGTGGAAAAGTTCCACTATCTCAAGGGATGCCTGCAGGGAGAACCAAAGAGCCTGATTGATTCATTGAAGATTACGAAGAACAACTACCAAATTGCGTGGGATATGCTGTTGAAGCGTTATGACAACAGCAAGCAATTGAAAAAGCGACAGGTACAAGCTTTATTCAATTTGCCAACATTATCCAAGGAATCGGTAACGGATCTGCATACTCTGACTGATGGTTTCGAGAGAGTGGTGCAGAATCTGGACCAGGTGATCAAGCCTGAGGATTACAAGGACCTGTTGCTCGTAAATCTGCTCACAAACCGGCTGGATCCGGTAACGCGCCGAGGTTGGGAGGAACATTCCTCGACCAAGGATCAAGACACGTTAGAAGATCTCTAGGATTTCTTACATCGTAGGATCCGGATTCTGGAGTCATTACCAACGAAGGCTTCGGATTCCAAGACTTCTTATCAAGTACAACAACCGTTGAGACATAAATCGTCTGTTGTGAAGGCCAGCTACGGTTCTGTGCAATCGTCTGGGGGACGATGTGCGGTTTGCAAGGAGAACCATCCACTCTACCAGTGTTCATCCTTCCAACGGTTGTCGGTGCGAGAAAGAGATGCAGTGCTGAGGGCGAACTCCCTATGCAGGAACTGCTTCAGATCGGGCCATCTGGCAAAGGATTGTCCGTCAAAATACTTCTGTCGTAGTTGCAAGGGTCGTCATCATACATTGGTATGCTTCAAACCGCAGAAGGATGGGTTGGCGAAGGTCGCTGCTGTTGCTGGAAACAACAATCCTCCTCCTCAAATGGAATCTGGTGAACCATCCACTTCTACATCCTCCCAGGTGGTCAACATGGCAGCCATCGAAATAACAGTCTCTGGGTCCACTCAACAGTTCTCCTCCAAGGTTTTGCTGGCTACTGCGGTCGTTATCGTGGAAGATGATGAGGGTAGTCAGTTCCCGGTTCGTGCTCTATTGGATTCCGGCTCCGAGAGTAATTTCATCGCTGAACGGTTGAGTCAACGGCTCAGGACACATCGAGAGAAAGTAGATATTTCTGTGCACGGTATTGGTCACGCGGCTACAAAGGTTAAGTACCAGATTACCGCGATGGTTCGTTCGCGAGCTACGGCTTTCTCGCAGAACATGAATTTCCTCGTGCTCCCAAAGGTTACGGTAAATATACCTACGGCGAAGGTGAATACACAAGGCTGGACGGTGCCTAACGGGATCATCCTGGCGGATCCCACTTTTTTCAATCCAAGTTCAGTGGACATGGTGTTGGGCATCGAATCCTTTTTTGATTTCTTCGAAACTGGTCGAAGAATTCCCCTCGGAGATCAATTGCCGACACTTAACGAATCAGTGTTCAGTTGGGTGGTCTGCGGAGGTCTGACAAATCCAAGTCAAGGCTTAAGCATCAATTGTAGTAGGGCAACTACACAAGGATTAGAGGAGCTAGTCGCACGGTTTTGGGCTAGTGAAGAGATTGGCAGTTCCAAGGTTCTTTCGTTGGAGGAAAGTAAATGTGAGGACATTTTCCGGAAGTCGGTTCGCAGGGAATCCGACGGTCGATACTCCGTTTCGTTGCCGAAAGATGAAGACGCAATTTCCAGGTTGGGCGAGTCATGGGACATCGCATTCCGGCGGCTTCAAGGCACAGAACGTAGATTGGCGAGGAATGTTGGTCTGCGAGAATAGTACCATCAGTTCATGGAGGAATACATCCGATTAGGGCATATGACGAAGATAGAGGAAACGGCTGATCTCGAAAAACGATGCTATCTGCCACATCATCCGGTAATTAAGGAGGCCAGCACCACAACTAAGGTCCGTGTGATTTCGACGCGTCATGCAAGACGTCGTCCGGCGTTTCGCTCAATGACGCTCTGCTGGTGGGACCGATTGTACAGGAGGACTTACTCTATCATGCTCCGGAGCCGCGTCAAGATAATCATGCTGGTAGCCGATGTAGAGAAGATGTTCCGGCAAATCTTTGTTCTACAGGCCACTCCAATGCATTCTATGGCGTTTCGATCCGTCGGAGCCCGTCTGCGTGTTCAAGCTCAACACCGTCACATATGGGACAAAATCAGCGCCATTTCTCGCAACCCGTACATTGAATCAGCTGGCAGTGGACGAGGAAACCAATTACCCGTTGGCTGCAAGGGCAACCACCGAGGATACCTATATGGATGACGTCATCACGGGAGCAGATACCATAGAAAAGGCACGGGAGCTTCGGAAACAGCTCGATGAAATGATGTCAAGGGGAGGATTTCGGCTACGGAAATGGGCATCCAACCGTCCGGAGGTTTTGGAGGGAGTCCCAGAGGAAAATCTGGCGATCCCAAGCTCAGATGGGATAAACCTGGATCCAGACCCAATAGTCAAAACGCTAGGTTTGACCTGGATACCGAACACCGACCAACTGAAGTTCCAGTTCGATATTCCACCTTGGTCATCAGAACAATATCCATCCAAACGACAAGTCCTTTCAATGATTGCCACACTCTTTGATCCTTTAGGACTTCTCGGCGCTGCTATCACCACAGCCAAGGTCATAATGCAGCTTCTGTGGAAGATAAGGAACGAGCAAGACCAGACATTGGATTGGGACCAGCCATTGCCTTCAACGGTGGGTGAGATGTGGAGAAAATACTACGACCAACTTCCTCTACTGAACGAGGTTCGAATCGATCGTTGTGTGGTCATTCCAGATGCAGAATTGATCGAGATTCATTGCTTTTCCGATGCTTCGAACAAAGCATATGGCGGATGTGTCTATATAAGAAGTCAGGATTCGGAAGGGAGATTCATGGTTCGACTGCTTTCGTCCAAATCCAAGGTAGCACCGTTGAAAACACAGTCTATCCCAAGATTGGAGCTGAGTGGCGCTCTACTGACCGCGCAGCTGTATGAAAGGGTTCGAGACTCTATTAGAATTCCTGCTCAAACATATTTCTGGACTGATTCAACTTGTGTTCTGCGGTGGATACAAGCTTCTCCAAACATCTGGACCACTTACATCGCGAATCGGGTCGCGAAAATCCAAGACATTGCTGAACCAACTCAGTGGCGGCACGTCCCAGGAAAGGAAAACCCAGCGGATTTGATTTCCAGAGGGATTTCTCCGAGGGATATTACCAATAATACTTTCTGGTGGGAGGGACCAGATTGGTTAAAGAAAGGTCCTGATTACTGGCCTGTTTCTCCCAAAGAACTTTCATTGGAGGAGGCAGAGCAAGAGAAACGACGAACGGTTGCTTGTGCACTGTCGGTGAACACGGAGTTCAACGATTGGTACCTGAAGAAGTTTACGTCGTACACGGATCTCGTTCGGAAAACAGCAATTTGGCTGAAATTAATGCGGTTGCTGCAGACCGATCCACAAGAAAGGATGCCAGCAGAGTTCTTGTCCACCCAGGAAATTCGGCAGGCGGAATATGCTATAGTGCGTCGTGTTCAACAGGAGGTTTTCATCAACGAGTGGAAGGCACTTTCAAAAGGGAAAGCTGTTTCGAGAAGATCTCCACTTCGATGGTTTAATCCATACATTTCCGACGATAACGTCATTAGAATTGGAGGGCGACTTGGTCATTCTGTAGAGCGAGAGGATACGAAACATCCGATGGTGCTTCCTGCACGGCATAAGTTCACCCGAATGGTCCTCCAACATTATCATCTGCAGCTGATGCATGCTGGTCCGCAATTATTACTAGGAGTTGTTCGCCTACGATTCTGGCCATTGGGTGGATGAAGCGTTGCAAGAAACATTGTTCACCAATGCTTGAAATGTTTTCGGGCAAAACCTACACCAATTCAGCAGTTCATGGGGGAGCTGCCAGCGCCAAGAGTCACCGTGTCTAGGCCATTTTCGCAGACCGGTGTAGACTACTTCGGTCCGTTTTATGTAAGACCTGTTCCACGACGACCGGTAGTCAAGGTATATGTTGCAGTTTTCGTTTGTCTTTGCACCAAAGCGGTTCATCTAGAACTGGTGACGGACTTGAGCACAGACCGATTCTTGCAAGCTCTACGACGTTTCATTGCTAGGAGAGGAAAATGTCAAGACCTGTATTCCGATAATGGGACAAACTTCGTTGGAGCCAGGAACAAGATGCAGGAGTTCTTGAACCTGTTACGGTGCTCAGACCACCGAGAAACGGTCGTCAAGGAGTGCGCAGAAAAGGGAATCCAGTGGCATTTCAATCCGCCCAGTGCACCACATTTTGGAGGACAGTGGGAGGCAGCAGTACGGTCAGCTAAAACCCACTTGATCAAGGTCGTGGGAGAAACACCGTTGTTGGCCAAAGATTTGACCACACTTCTGGTGCAGATTGAAGGTTGCCTCAACTCACGACCGTTAACGCCGATGTCCGATGATCCCACTGATTTTGAGCCTCTGACGCCTGGCCACTTCTTGATTGGCTCCTCATTACAGTCGTTCCCCGAGCCGAATCTGGAAGCCCTCGCATTGAACCGCTTAACTAAATTCCAGTTAATCCAACGGATGATGCAGGATTTCTGGAGAAGGTGGCGAAGGGAGTATCTGTGCCAGTTGCAGGGCAGGTCCAAGCGCTGGAAGCCAGCAATTAATATCGAGGTTGGGAAATTGGTTGTTATCCGGGACGATAATCTCCCACCGATGTAGTGGCGAATGGGACGGATTGTTGAACTGCATCCAGGAAACAATGGAGTAGTGCGTGTTGTAACGCTGAAAACGGAAACTGGTACAATGAAACGTCCAGTAGAAAAACTGTCTTTGTTGCCTATCAACGACGTTGACCAGAACTAGCAATCATCAGCGTAGACCCAAATCCTTCCCTTCCCGTTCCCATTAGAAGAGGATTTTCATTTATTTTCAGAAATTAGGAATTTCAGGGTGGGTGAGGAATGTTTGAGACTAACATCAGCCCAACCTAGCTACATCCTCGTACTGGCTATGCACAATTGTGACCTACTTCCAACGAGTTTGCGGCATCGCTTATTGTGTTCTCATCTACACACCGAGCAGAGGATAGATGGTCATCGATCAAGCCAGGCGAGAGAGATTAGATCGTTTCGCTTGTATATAGGCTGCAGTGGTGAGCAATTCAGGAGCGAGAACAGGAGCGGTCACTCTCATGGACCAGAGCGAAAACATCGCATGAGTGGCGATCGTTGTTAGAAGATGACCAGTGGATATTTTTTGCATTAGAAATCTACAGACCACCGACCGTGTGTGGAGTCTGCGCGCGGGCAATTTTAATCTGTTTTGTGTGTTAGGAATAAGAAAAACAATGTTAGAGTTTAAGAATAAATGTGTTTAATTAGTTGTTTTTAATAAATATAGTGCTTGTAAACCTGTTGTAGTAAATCGGAGTGTGTGTTAATTGGTGTAAAAATAGAAGAAGCTCTTCCACGGAGAACAAGGGAGATATTTACCCAGCACCGGGAATAGCTGGCCCTTTGTTTTCCCTAATTTCACCGGCGAGTGTTGGGGAGCACTGATCGACATCGAAGGCGGAGGTAATTCGGTTCCCCAACACTATATTTACCTTATATCACAAAAAGGGCGATTATCGGGTAGTTAGCGGGCTTGGTGGTTACTTGGGTAGAACAGTTCCATTAACTTCAGGGCATCACCAAAAAAATCAGAATAGTATAGGTTTGCGGGAAATTTTAAAAATCTCGGAGAATTCGTAATTTTAATTCGGGGTTTCAGTCTACATGAAAAAGTGTTGATTACAATTTTATCATCGTCAACGTTTAGATCCAGCTCTTTATCAGCGGTAATTTTAGATTAAAATTGTTAAGATTTTTGTGCTGAACAAACGACAGCATAAGTTTTAGACTGGAATCAATGTTTACCTCCCAGCATTATTCCTGAAAGTAGTCTGACTGAGAATTTCAAAAGAGTCGTGAGTGTCGCTAGTATCCAATATACGAAGTATATCATAACAACGCTAACGGTAACAAAATACGGTATAATTTTATATCCCCTGAGAAAGGCGAATTCCAAATACCGAAACGTCTGACATTAAACATCGTTAAGTTCCGATTAGTAATTTTAAGATTTATGGTGAGCTGATTGCAGTATAATCAGTAACCTAGATTTAGTCAGGGGGTGATAAGTTGTGTATAAATTTCCAAATTACAATGATAGCCACTTCTTAAAGGGGCGCCTGAATTTGAGATGGTCGGTCGCACGTATGAAAAATCAGTTAGTAACCAGCTCTTCATTTACCATGACAGCACTGATTGACGGTCATATTGAGCTCCCAGTCCCACGCTGACTATACTCGCATGCTCCTAGTACACTACCGATCATAAGTTTAAGGACACCCCCAAAAAACCATGCAAATATTTTTTGTTCAATGATCTCTCATTTAACGTTCAATTTCGATCTCCAAAGGTTATTTGAATGGTATGTGTTCGTGACAACGAAAGTTGATCGACGGCGATAAACGCCCAAAAAGAGAAATTTAGATTGGTAGCATGGCGTTGTACCATCTTCCGCCGCGCCCTGATATAAAAGTCGAAGAGTGACAGGACTGATCCTCTTTAGCTACAGCGACGTCATCAATCATCATTATCAGTGCAAAGCAGAAGATAAACAAACAAGTGAAAGTGAAAGTGAATTTAATCGTTGAAAAATATTGTAATTTAGTGAAAGTAAAAGCAGTTAATTAAGTAGAAATAAAGTTTATTTTGCGTGAAGTAAGTCGCGAGTGCTTAAAGTTAAGCTACCATTCTTCTTTTCCGCCATTCTTGAATTCCTGAAAGAGAAGAAATAGTGAGTAAAAGCTTACCTGCCTGTGCGGAGCTAAGAAACAGAATCAGCTGAGACAAATTTTCTGCTGCTGATCGCTGTGCTCCCGACGGTTTGGTCCTTCGAACCGGATAGCGTCGAATCTCCGCTAGTTCGATAGTCCAGCGCCTAGTGAGCCGCCATCGCACATTTGCTATTGTGCCCGCTGAAGAATTGCTTACTATCGCCATTGTCCCAGCTGAACAATCCGCTACAGAACGCCATCTTCCTGCTTGGTTGCTGCTATTATCAAATACAAGGCAAATTAATTGCCTCAACCAGGTAATTAGGTTTCCAACTACTTTTACTTTCTATTTGTGTGCTACGCTGGTCCATTGTCCACAGATTTCACTGCAATGTCGACCGAACGCCGTATCAAGACGCTAAAGATGCGGCTGAAGAGTCTAGTGACGTCGCTGAACCTCATCAAGACCTTCGTAGACGACTACACTGAGGAGACGCAGGCCGACGAAGTCCCTGTCCGTCTTGAGAACCTGATAAAGTTGTGGTCCGACTACAATACCGTCCAGAGCGAGCTGGAGACGCTCGATGAAGCTGCCATCGAGACCCACCTAAAGGAGCGGACGTCGTTTGAGTCCGCTTATTATGATGTCAAGGGCTTTCTACTGGCCCAAAATAAAACGCCAGTTACACCAACTCACCCGTTTCCTAATCAATCAGAGACGCAATTCCTTCCGTCGGTATCGCAGGTGCGTTTGCCTGACGTTAATGTCTCCGTCTTCGATGGCAAACTGGAAAACTGGCTAAACTTCCACGATTTATATGTGTCGCTGGTCCACTCGGCGGTCGGTCTCTCGAATATCCAGAAGTTTTATTACTTCCGATCATCATTATCGAATACAGCTCATCAACTCATCCAAACGATCCCAATATGTGCGAACAATTACCCGGTGGCATGGAACCTTCTGCTGGAACACTTCCAAAACCCTGCTCGGCTGAAGCAGGCGTACGTAGACACTCTATTCGATTTCGCTTCTATCAAAAGGGAAACGGCAACGGAACTCCACAGTTTGGAGGAGAAATTCGAGGCAAACGTCAAGGTTCTGCAGAAATTAGGTGAACGTATGGAGTATTGGGATATTTTGCTCATCCGTATGCTCAGCATTCGACTGGATCCAACGACAAGGCGAGATTGGGAGGAGTACTCTTCGACCAAACCAGCGATCACTTTCAAGGACCTGACATCTTTCATCCAGCGACGAGTTACGGTGCTGCAATCCATCCAGGCCAAGCCCATCGAAGCTCAACCGTCGACCGTTCAGAAGAAGCCAGTTCAGCGATCCGTCTCGAGCCACGGAGCCAACCAGGTCAATCTTCGGAAGTGTGTCATCTGCTCAAACCATCACCCTTTGTAAATGTGTGGAAGTTTTTCGCAACTTTCAATGGAAGTAAAATAGAAGGAGATACGCCGTCATCAACTCTGCCGAAATTGCCTTCGAAAGGGTCACCTATCAAGGGATTGTTCGTCATCCACCAACTGCCGAAAGTGTCGTGGACGTCAACACACTCAGCCATGCTCGAACGATTCCACTTTCTTGTCGAACTCGAAACAAGTCCAGCATCCGAAACCTGCTATATCTACTCCAGTTACCGATCCTTCTTGCCACGAGTACCTTTCCACACTGCAGCCACGTACAAAATGGTGCAATCCACCTATTCAGCTGCAGCAAAACCAACTTGTTGTTCTTCGCGACGAAAACACTGCACCAATGCACTGGCAGACCGCCAGAATCGACCAGGTTCATCGCGGTTCAGATGGAGTCATCAGGGTAGTGACGGTCCAAACACCAACCGGCCGTTACATTCGCCCGGTATCAAAAATTTGCCTTTTACCAGTGCAATCATCGTCCGACCAAAACCAACCACCACAGATGTAATCGTCAACACTGCAGCCATCCAGCTACTTGCATTCCAAAATTCACCTTCAACGATAGTACTCCGAAGTTCACGACTATCCGTCGACAACAGGAGCATCTATAATTAAAATTCAATGCCTTTCATTAGAAAGGACAAGGTAAGCACCTGTCCAATCTAATAATTTATATCAAACCCCGCTACCGGGTCTTCTGTTTGCAGACCATTTTCTATCTTCAACGTACGTGTGTACGTGTACAAATCGTCCTCTGAAGCTTCATCGATGGTATTGGCGTCTTGCAGTGAAACTTTTCCAAGCTTTCGCCACCTACATTTCGAAGTGAGAACTACTACAAGGAGGATAGTTTCTAAACTTTCCAAGTAAAACAGACGATTTTTGGGCCAAATCGGTCCATAAACAAAGACTAATAATTTCCCGTGTAAACTTTTGCTTGAAAAGTGTAAGAAAACGTGTTTGCAAACTAACTGTTCTTATTTCGGTATGGATCGGAGATATTTTCATGGAAAATTATGCATAACAAATTTGCATCCACAGGGAGAGGTTACCTCTTGCGCAGCTGCATTTTTCGGAAAATTGTTAATATGTGAGATTTCCACTAAGATGAAAGTGGGAATTAAGTGAATTTACTTAGGAAAGATTGTATCTTGCTGGTGATAATGGAGAATTGGTTGTATAGGACGCCAATATTCAATAAATGTTCATTTTGGCCTTTTTTAGGCAAACATATAGATACAATTTTCGACGGAAAACGCAACGGAACTTGATTTACTCAACACGCACCATACTATAAAATGGTGCTAGATGGTTTTCGAAGTGATAACAAGATGAGAAATCATCTTTATTTTGAGTAATTGAGCAATTTACTTCTGTTTACCATCATATTTCCGATGCAGCATTGATGGAGCCGTGAAATCAAATGAATATATCTTATGAAAGTTCATCTGGACAAGTCAAAGATGCACAT